CACTGCTACCCCTGCATCTAATGATCTGGTGATCTGATCATAAAAAGCCACCAGGTTGGTCTGACAGGACCTGCCACTGATGAACCCGTGCTGATTGCCCCTAAGCATGCAGTCCCCTGCTGGCCCCTCCTGGATGTGTGCCAGAATTATTTTCTCAAACACCTTGCCTAGGATCGAGGTAAGACTAACTGGCCTATAGTTTCCTGGGTCCTCCTTCCTCCCTTTTTTGAAGATTTGATTTTTATTGGCATGACCTAAACATGAGGGAATATTGTTGTTTAATTTTAATTTTGATATTTGTGGTGACAATTTTGGGGAGGGAAGCAACTCTCTCAACTGCATTTATTACAAAAATCTTTAAAGGCTGATGGCTTAAAAGATTTAGTTGAACAGTTCAAGCCTCAGTTTTTATCACCTCCAAAATTACAAGGCTGCTAAATATCATGCATCTGTGTGATGTTTACATACTTGGCCGCTGTTCTTATTTATACAAAATAGCAAAATTGCAGCTAGAAGTTTTGATTGTAACATCATGAGAAACAGGGCTGAAAGGGACCCAGAGGTTATCTTGTCCACCCCCCCATTTCTAAGACAGAATCATCCACACTTAAAGTTGGAGATTATGAACCAATAAGAATGAAAATTAAATTAAAAAAAAAAGTGAATAACTGACAGCAGCCTCTAATTTGTACTGTTTATTTTTTTAATGGTTTAGGAAACTAATTCTGGAGATACAGCAGAAGTATCCAAAGTAATCAGCAAGAAACGCGCATCTCTTTCAAGCAGCGGGGAAGAAATAGGTAATGAAAATACATGTTAATGTAATCTGAATATATGTGAAAATCTTACTGTGTTTATCTGAATCCAAGATGACTTTGAAATAAAGACAGCCCTCCCAGTAGTTAGATTCTAGACATGGAAAATATTTAAAAATATTGTAACTTTCTATATATTGAATCTAATTATTGGAGAGTTGTGATTTTCTCCAACCACAGTGAAAAAAGCAGCATGAGGGGAAGGGTGGAGGGAGCCCTCAGACAGCAGGGGAGTTAAGCAGCTTGAGCCCCACCACTTGTCACCCCACCTCTTTCTCCACTCCCCACCCCCTAGCTCTGTGCCTGTACCCTCTGGCTACTGCCTTTCCATGGTGTCTGCCCCCTTCCCTTTCTTCTTATCCTTAGTCCAAGCTTTGGCTCAAGCTCCAGTCCTCTCTCACCTGGGGCATGGAGCACATTGTGCCTCCAGTCCCTACCCAGTGTTTTAGCAGCTGTGGAGCCAAGGCTGAAACCAGAGTCATTGCCCACTCTTTGACAGGGCTGGAGCCAGACCTAAAGCAGCTACCTTACCCTGCCACCCCCTTCCCTTCCCCAGCCTCGTACTCCAGTGAAAGATCAGAGACTTTTTTCCCCATGGTGAATAGGGGGAAAAAAAAAATCTTGGAATCAAGTAAATATAGTGATTTCATCATTTTAAGTATTTGCTTGTGTTGTACAGTAACAGCATTCTGGCTGCACATAACCACTGAATGATACATTGTGATTAATTTCTTAAACTGTCAGTGAGTGAATCTGCCATCCCTGCTAGTAGAAGGCATGCCAAATTGACATTGACATTAACCAGTTTCCTTCATTGGACATCCTGAAGTAAAAAATTGGACGGTTGGCTGGGGATATGGCCAGATCCGTACACCTTGCCAGTACGCCTCTTAGCAATTAGATGCACCTATATATGAGCATGGAGGTTGCTCCAACGCGCTGGAATTCCAATTGAGTCTGGGGTATGGCAATTACTGTGCTCCAGCAACCTCCCGCATCTCGTGTATCAGTGTCCCCATGCTTAAAAATGGCAGAAGGGGCTCTTGAAATAATGATAATTGAGTGAGCTGCTCTAACTAAAGTGCTTTCCACTGAATGAGCCACTCTGAGCTGCTCTAATGTAAAGCTTCACCCCCGCCCCCCCAACTCTTGGAGCACATGTAAAAGTACCCTAGGGTTGTAAATTTAAAGACATCCTTCATAGAAGCACAGCATGCTGTCCCTGAGAGGACTTTCTGTCCATCTCCTCCCTCTGCACCCCCCCCACACACACTTTCCAACATGCCTGTACTGCAGAAGACAGAGAAATTATGTTGCCCTAACATGGATGGTTCAATCTTGTTAATTTAACCATGGTACTAAAAGGAAAAACTGAAGTAAAATGCCTTTGAATCTCTAGTAGTGTTAGCGTGATATTGTAGCCATGATGGTACAGAAATTGAAAGGCAAGGATTTCTTAGGGTGATATCTTTTATTGGACCAACTGCATAGTTGAGAGAAAGCTATACAGGTTTTTGAATGCAAGGTATTTGCTGTATTGGGTGCCCTCATGGCAACTATGTGGGTGAAAATAAACAGAAGATTCACCAGAATGAACTCCTGCAGGAAAAATATATAAAGAGCAAACACACATACACTATTGGGAGCACATTGTTCACTGAGTAACAACTCCCTGTGATCTTACCATCCTTGTACTGACAGAAAATCTACTCAATGCCTTTAAAAGGTGAACTTGGGAACAAAAATTCATGCTCAGGCCAGATGATAAGAAATAAGGACTTAACACTAATACTGTTTCATGGCACATTATTGCTTCTCAGCCTCCTGTAGGCTCAGGTCAAGTGTAGTGTAGTACCTGCCTCTTGAATTCTTTTCATACATGAAAAGTGAGAATGACCCCCTTTGCTTTTGAGAGCCCTTGATCTCCCAGTAATCAGCTTTTCTTTGGCTAATTGTTTGTGTGCTATCCTTGACAGGTGCTTTGTTCTCCTTCCTATATATATATATTTTTTATTTTGCTGTGCTTGGTTTGTAGTAGTCAGACTTGATGAAGAATGTCTTGCATTTGAAAGTTTGTTTAACTTTATCCCAATTATGCAGTTGATCCACTAAAAAATACCTCCCTAAGAAATCCTGTGAATCAATGTAGGTTTTTGACTTTCAAGTCTAGCTTCCTTTTGGATAGGTGGGCTCTATATGCTACTGTGTGTTTGATCTGTTTAATGGCTCTGTATCTTGACTTCAACAAGCTTGCTTCCATATCTTGGTTTGTCTTGCAGCTAACCACCTGATCTGCTCATCTTCCCAGCTTTCTGATTTGTGGATGTGGGAAAATTGTGATAGTATCAACAAATGACTATATTTATAGTATGAACCATCTCAGGTTTTTGCAGTTATATTACCTTTATTATGAAATCTAATACAGTAATTTTTCCTTGTCTAAGGAAGTGTAGCCTAGGCAACATAATACAGCAAAAAATAAGACAAACCAAATCTTGAGTTATTTTACTAAAGTTGAAGTTATAGGCCCCCGTTGTATTTAAAAGTGCTTTTGAAAAGTGCGGAGATAGCAGCCAATATATTTTGCTAATTTTCTGAAGAAGGGATAGTGAAATTTTCTTTTAAATTTTGTCTTTGTGCAGATGAATTTACCAGCAAACAAGAGATTTATGAAAAGGCAAACCAGAGTTCGGAATCTAATATAAATTCAGTAGAGGCAAGTAGTCTTATCCATTTAAATTCATTGCCACTTGAAAGATTTTCAGTTTTGAGAGAGAAGCTTGTCTTTTTTATTTAGCATCAGTAAAAATAGTGATTTCACCAGTTATGGGAACAGTCATAAAAAAAAAACAATGACTTGTTCAAGAAGGAGCATTGTATCCCAACTAAGGACCCTGGCAGACATTGCAATTCAGATGCAATTAAATGGTTAATCATGCCATAAATAGTAACCCTGCCGCACATTCAAGGAATTAATAGCACAATAAAACAAGAAACCAGTCACAAAAATATTTCATAAGATGTGTAACATTTTTGAGGCTGGTTTCCACCACACCTTAAATTTAACATGTGGCAGGGTAACCAAAGCTGCCTCAAGACTCTGGTGTAGTCCTGGGGCTGGAACTGAAAATCATCTGGAACTGCCTGGGTTCCCCTTGCACTGCAAGTAGTAATGGCACTACTGGGACCTGATTCCTGAACCCCAAGTTGTTCAGTTGTTGGGATCAGCTCCCATTGTTCCATTAAATGACTGTGTGCCAGGAGCCTAAACATACAACATTGTTGATTATCCATTTCAGGCTACAGAAAATGAATGGTGAGTCATCAGTCAAGTATCCCCTGTGCACTCTTTCTTTTTTTAAGATTAAAATTTAACACAAGATGCAAACACACATTGCATCTTCTGATCTTCAGCAGTCCTTCAATGAGGATGACAGTCTTCTAGTGGATAGGGATATCCTTGGTGCATCTGAAGTTGACTGAGAAGGCTGATCCAAAATCCTCATGTTCAACTGCAGATGTGGCAAATAGTGCCAGGAGGAAGGAGTCTATCCCGGTGATTCCCTTTGTTTTAGTCTATCTGCCTCCATAATGAGGCAAGTTTACTCAATGTTCAAAGCCTTGTATCTCAGTGCCCCTGGCAATGATGTAGTGATTGAATCTTCTAGATATTGAAGTTTGTATTGCATTTCTTTATTTTATTGCATTTCTTCAGGTTGTTCTTGAAGTCTTCTTTTGCCCACCTTGAAAAGTGATAACCATCAGTAAATTGGGTGTATAGGACCTGTTTTAGCAGCCAGTTGTCAGGCATCCTTATGAGGTGTCCTGTCCAGTGGAGCTGGTTGCCACAACCATGTCATCAATATCGGTAGTATTTGCTTGAACCACTTGCACTTATTCTTCTGTCCTTCCAGTTAACATGGAGGATTTTTCTGAAGACATCATTAATTACAATGTTCCAAAGATTTCAGTTGTTTCCTATATGTTGTCCAAATTTCACATCTGTACAATAGGGTAGGGATAACAATAGCTTGGTAGATGAGAGTTTTTTGGTTTGAGTCCTGATGTCATGATCATCAAAGATACCAGTTTTGGAAATGCCCAAAGGCAGCACTGGCAGATTGTTTGGTTTTGAATGTCGTATATGTTTACCTTTTGTTAAAGGTAGCTACCCAGGTAAGGAAAATGTTCAACGTTCTCCAAAGATTGCCCTGTAATTAGGGTTGCACCGACTAAAGACTTTTTGAGCCAATACCAGTCCAGTTGCTGATGTGCAGCCCAGCAGCTTGGAAATAGGCATCCAGCTGGTAAGTCTGTTGTGGGAGGGAGGGGAAGAGGAGGGTCGGGGGG